GTATGGGGAACGACTGCAGCGTGTCTGTGGGAGGTGCTGCGGCAGACACTGGGGGGCGCCCACAGAGGCCTCTCTTTGGCAGGGGTGGGGTGTCCTGTGAAAATTCTAACAGGTAGAGAAACGGAGTTTTTCGTAATGAAAGTTATCCTGACCTTTCGGCAGTTGGGCTTAAAAATAACTTTTTCTCCCATTAGGAAAAAGGCTGTTACAGTTACAGACCAGTTTACTGGCTGTTAGTCATTCTGTGGTGTCAGTCGGGCTGTTTGTATTTATATGGCAGGCAGCACATCGGGACAAGAGTAACTCCAAGGTTTACAAATTGATGCCCTGATACGTTAGACTTGCCGACAAATGAATGGCATTTGGTTCAGGTTGACGGCTAGATGTGCTGTCCAGTATAGTCCCCACTGATTACTTGTGGCTGTTTACATTGAAACAAATTAAACTTCATTTCCTCGATGCACTTCCCACATTTCAAGTGCTTAGAAGCCACAGAGAGCTTGTGGCTACTGTGTTGGGCAGTTCAGATAAAGCACGTCTCTACCGTCGCAGAAAGGTCCTTCGACTAGCACTCTCTAGAGGAAAAGATTCCCTTCCCTTTGCATGGTAACATGTGAAAGGAGTTTAAATAGTGTGTATCTTAGAGTTTTTCTAAGCAAATATGCAAGTTGCAAAAGGTGCCATGTTGGAGTTAGCGTGCCTCACCGGCCTTTGCAGACGGAAGCACTCTAGGTGCACTGAGCGGGCTCTGGGTATAGAAAGAAACCCAGAACTGATGTGAATGAACTGTTCCCTTTTATATGAACGCCTGTTTACATGTGCCAATTTGCTTGAAACGTGACACACTCACATGTACTTGTGATGACTGTTGTTTGAGGAGAAAAGCTGGCCTTGGTGTCACACGGTGTTGAGCAGGTAGGTACCTGCCTCACTGGCACGAAGCCGCCCAGCCCAGCAGTGGGCCGTGTCGCCTGGGGGTCTCCTGACAGTGTGTTTCTCCCACAGGAGAACTGCGGCACATCACCAAGCTGAAGCCCTGGAGCCTCTTCGACGTCCTTGTGGAAAAGTACGGGTGGCCCCATGAAGATGCTGCACAGTTTACAGATTTCCTGATCCCGATGTTAGAAATGGTTCCAGAAAAACGAGCCTCAGCCGGCGAATGCCTTCGGCATCCGTGGCTGAGTTCTTAGCAGATTCTACAAATACAGCATTCTGAGCTAGCAAATGTTCCCCAGTACATTGGACCTAAACGGTGACTGATTCTTTAACAGGATTACAAGTGAGCTGGCTTCATCCTCAGACCTTTGTTTTGCTTTGAGGTACTGTTGTTTGACATGCTGCTTTTGTGCACTGTGATCCTGGGGCAGGGGTAGTCTTTTTGTCTTCAGCTTAGTAGTTTACTGACCCACTTTCTTCTGGAAACAATAACACATCTCTAAGCATTGTTTCTTGTGTGATATTCAAATGTCAATTTTTTTGAACGAAAAATACTTTCCCCCTTGTGTTTTGGCAGGTTTTGTAACTATTTATGAAGAAATATTTTAGCTGAGTATATAATTTACAATCTTAAGAAATGATCAAGTTGGAACCAAGAAATAGCAAGGAAATGTACAATTTTATCTTCTGGCAAAGGGACATCATTCCTGTATTATAGTGTATGTAATGCACCCTGTAAATGTTCATTTCCATTAAATGTGGGATGGGGAAGCTGATTTCAGAAAAGCTACCCAGTCTGAAGTGCTTTATAGCCTGAGTTGCATGTAGCGGACTTTGCTCCAGGGAGTTGTGCAAACTTTTCATTCCTTAACGGTCCTCTTTCATTGGATTTTAAACAGAGTGGCTCTGGTTCTGTCATTCCCTATACGGCACTTTAAAGAAAGAAAAGACACGCTTCTCATTCTCAAGTACGTATTCTAGTTTAGCACTCCCCTTCCTGTTTTTGCATATTTTAAAAGTACTTTCAAGGAAAAACAGCAATGTCCCCTTAAAAATGCGATGGGCTGGTACATGTGGTGTTGCCTCCTACCAGCACTGTAAGTTAACTGGGCAGATTAAACTGGACGAGAGAAACATGTTTGGTGTGTGGAATGAAATTACATGTAATTTTGGGAAATCTTGCTCGTCTGTCTAGAACCAAGGTATCCAGTTTGCAGTGCAGTGGGCCTAATCCACCATCTCAGAGGTAACAGCGACCGCGTTCATTCATTCCGGAGGCTGTTTTCGGTGTGGCTACAACATTTTGCTAGCTTTTTGATTGTCGCTCCATGCATTGAAGTTGAGAAAATGATTTTCCCTTGCAGGCCGCACACAATTTTGTGTATGCATTTCCTTAAAATTGTAGAAACCAGGACACAAACCATAGTAGGCAATACAATTTTAGAATGTAATATATAGAGGTGTATTTAGCCTCTTTTAGAAGTCAGTGGATTGAATGCCAGTGGTTTTTTAATTTTACATTCATTGAGGTGCCTCCTTTTTCTTGACTGTCCATTAACATTTATCCATATGCCTTTGCAATAACTAGATTGTGAAAAGATAACAAGTGTTGTAACAATAATCTATTGTTTGAGGTGCTTGCAGTTGTCTTAAAAATTAAAGTGTTTTCAGTATTTTTTTCCAGACATTGCCCTGGTCATTGGCCTATATTTGAAGTGCTGGAATCAACAAATGTGCTGTCCTTTTAGTGTAGAGTAACCAAAACGAAAGGCAAGATCAACGTTCCTGTACAGGAAGGGTAGTTCTGTAACATGAATTAAGGCTTATCACAGGATATCTTTCATTGTTTTCTAAGGGTATAGAGTATGGATTTAGAAAAGATGCTGTAGTATAGATTTAATACCTAGAATTTCAGTGATCCTTTTTCATTCGTGTTTCATCAAACACATTAATTACAAAATTAATTAATTTTGTTTGAGACTTGATATTTTTTTTATTTTTTCAGTGTTTACTGTGAGGGAACAAGACATGTCATCTCTTGGGAGTTAGCATTATGTCACTTATATCGCTGTGAGGTTGAACATACCATTCATGTGTGGTGTGTTTCTAAGTTTTTCTAATGAGGCTATCGGTTACCATATAGATTCTATGGCAGATGGTGGCTGTAGACCAGTGATGGCATCCACCATTTCCATAGGAACCATTCTTACCAGAACCGCAGAGTACAATTATGTCTCCTCTGAGTCTGGAAGAATTTTTATCAGGGCTATAGCACACTTGAATGAAAGTTGTCTAATACAGTTTTGGCTGTTAGGAAATAAACTATATTATTATGGATTTTTTAAAGGATCTGTCCCTTATGATAAAATAGCCTGAATAGTTTAAGGTAAAAAACAACTGTTCTAGAAGGAATATACATTTGTATTAGGTATGGTATGGTTTTCAGCAAATTCTTGGTGGCTTGATGATTATGCATATAAGCTAAGTGAGAACCACTGGTGTGTGAGTCAGTACAGCCAGCTCAGTTGAATGCTCTATCTTTTCCTTTCTCTGGTCCATGAGAAGTCTTCATGGAAAATGACACGCAATGGATCACATATGTGATTACAGCACATTCAGAAGCTGGCTGGCTGTCTGCCTTGGGACAGTTCTAATTTCCAGACAAAAAGTGGATATAGGTGCTTCAAAAAAGCATAATTTTTTAGGTGAAAACTGATTTACTAACTTGCTTCTTCCTGTACCTGGATCACACATACTAGTTAATAGAAAACGACTATTTCTACTGGAGTAGAGAACTTCAGTTTGTATCTACAGTTGAAATTAATTTTTAAATTCCACTTTTTTCCCCACTAATTTTTTTTATCTTTAATGAAATTTTGGTAGAGGACAGTATTTGAGAGTGTATGTATCCTTCATTAAGGAGTCAAAGAATTATATAAAAGTCTTCAGTTTATATAAAAGCTTCTGTACACATTATGTAGTAGGAAAATTTAAAACTATGAGGAATTAAAAGTACTTTAAAGAGGTAAATATTGATATTTCACTATGCTAGTTAACTTTGTTCTGTGTTTGAAACTATCAGGATGGATGACGTAAAGCCATTTCCTCCACACGTTTCTTTAGTGAATGCCATGAGTAGAATTTTGTTGGATAAAGGAAAGGATGGTCAAGTTGACCTAAGTTCTTTTAAAACTTGAAGCTGATTAGGATTGATTCCTAAATGCAGCTGTGTTAATGTACTATCATTAGCTAATTTTCAAAAGGAAATGGAAATTAAAAGTGTAAAACATGACATACAATACTGCCAAATCTTATTCAGTAGTCTCTTTTTCCACCAATGCACAGAATTTGTATAGCGTGCCAGATTGCCACGTAATTGGATGATGGAAGACATGTTGACAAATACGGTCATTACTAGTGATTATGCTGAATTAATCCTCCTGAGAGGTAGAGGACAAAATAATAAGAATTTTTTTATTTTCCCAAAATAATAACTAGCATTTTATATTTCAGCAATAAAGTGTTTGAGGCCGTTTTCATTTAACTTGAGAGATCTAAGAATATGCCTTTTTCCTTTAGTTTTGTACACACAACCAATTTTTAAAATTTCCTGCTGCTTTTTTAAATAGTTTAGACAGTAAATGTTAATTTAAGGTTTGCAAATAGTTTTGATTAATCAGTAGGACATTTCAGTCATATTTTAAAATGTACAAATTAGATATTCCTGTTTTTAGGCAAACTACTCCGTGTTTTCAAACACTTGTCTCAATTACAATCTATAACTGTACTCTGCGTGATGCTTTATGGTAGGGGTTCATTTTGTAGTCAGACATAAGTCAGTGTACAGAGCTCTGACATCGCATAGTTTCTCACGGCTCTTGCTCCGACCAGCAGGAAGATTACAGGAGCAGCCCTTACTGCCCCTGACTCAGCTCACCAGTCCAGCTGAGGTAGTAGTCGCTAAAGACAAGGGGAAGGCTCCTTATAAACTATACTGCAAAATGTAACTTCTGTAAAAGCACTTGCTTAAACCCCAATCTCAGAAGTTGTACAGGACAATTTGGTAAAACTGACATAATTGTGATTTATTAACATGAATTAAAATGCTCAACCAGTGCTTCAATGTGACAGTATATTTAAAATAAAAAAGAAATTAAAGGCCATATACTGTACTACTTTCACAAAGGTCACACAGTTTTGCAAAGACTTGTCATATGTACAATGCTATATATCAAATGAGGAAAGCCGTAAGCAATTATATATGCAAAAGAAATGCGGTATTTACAGTTTGTCAGGAGACATTAAAAATCATCTATACATTAAATTACATTTTGCTTGCAAATAACCGATAAAACAAAATGAGCCATGTCCACACCAAACTATAAAAATCTGTATTGCGGTTTTTTATATCTAAGATGCACTCACAGAGCTGCTGATGGAAAAAAATGAAAATCCTCATAGTGCCATTACTTAGGTTTGTACTTAATGTATATGTATAAAATAATACAGAAAACATCCACTAAATGAATTTTAACTGCAACAATAAAATTTAAAGGTCGTGAAGCATCAATTCTAGTGCCAGTAAAACAGCTGGAATGTTCACTTACAAAATAAAGATACCTACTACTGGTTTAATAGCACATTTTTAAAGGAATTTTACAAAGCAAAAATGGGAAAGATACAATGAAAGAGCACTGGTGTTCTGGTTTTTTTTTTTTTTATACAAAGTTTCATGTACAAGCTTTAAAAAGTACCTTAACAGGTACATATGAAATATACAGTTTATCTTACAGAACATTTTAAAAAATGTTTTTGGAGTCCATTTTAATGCCACCCCGAACCATGGTAATTGTTCTGAAATGTTGGTGGCACCTGTGCTCTGTGAATTGGTATCTGTCCAGGCACTGGAGATGCCTGCTGAGGTCCCTGAACCCCATGTGGCAGGGCCACAGAGCCAGGATGAGGACAGAACCCTGAAGCAGTAGGAGTTGGAATACTGTTTGGTCCTTGGGGCTGGAGGTGAGGACCTGCGACTGGTAGTGGACAATGTGGCCCTGTCCCAGAAGGCTGGTGTTGGGCTCCCGGTCCCAAAGTGGCGTGGTGTGCAGCTTGTGAAGGGTATGGCGGCACAGCGGGGTGAGCACTTGAAGGAAAGAGTGGAGGTCCTTGATGAGGCGGGTGGTGCCCGGCAGCCAGCACGCTGGCGGGGGGC